CCGAACCCGCTTCGAGTAGTTCCCTGACAATACCTCTATTTCCATTCTTGACAGCGTGGTGCAGCGGCGTGCAGTCCTCCGTATCGCGCAGGTTCACCGTCGCCCCGGCACAGAGAAGGCTGCCTACGACGTCAGCATGCTCAAATATGACGGCTGTATGAAGAGGGCTCTGTAAGTCCTTGTCTTGCAAGTCAACCTCAGCGCCAGCGGCGATGAGTGACCTCGCCACTCCATCATGGCCTTCCGTGGCAGCCTGGTGCAGAGGCGTGCAGAATTCAGAGCTCTGCGCGTCAACATCGGCACCCCTCTCTAGCAGAGAACGCACGATACCATCGCGTCCATGGCGCGCTCCAACGCTCAGCGGCGTAAGACCGTTGGCGTTCCGCGCCTCGACGCTGACAAGCCCCGTGTTGAGCAGAGCATCAACAATATCCGTCCGACCTTCGCGAGCAGCGTCATGAAGGGGCGTGTCGCCGACCTTGTCTTTGGTGGCAGGGTTGGCGCCGGCGGTCAGCAAAATCTCGACAACGTCGGAATGGCCACGTCGGGCGGCAACATGAAGCGCCGTACTCGAGTCGCGATTGCCGACGTCAACAACGGCGCCCGAGTCGATGAAGAGCTTCACGAGAGCCGCGTGTCCATTGCGCGCTGCCTCGTGCAGCGGCGTCTCGCCAAATGCTTCCTCGCGCCGAACGTCGGCGCCGACATTGAGGAGGGCGCGGGCTACGGCTTCGTGGCCGTTGCGCGCGGCCAGATGGAGGGCAGTGCATCCCTCGGCATCTTGCAGGTCAACTTCAGACTCCGGACCGACGGTGAGGATGGCACGAAGAATATTGGATTTGCCGGCAGAGGCGGCGTGATGCAGTGGTGTCCGCTTCTGGGCGTCTATGGTGAAGAATACTGAGGGCAGCGATATGAGCAACTGATGAACATGTTCCTCAGTCTCTTTGTCGTCGGGCTGGGACGAGATGACTTCTGTGAGGCGTCGGTAGGCTACATGTGTTAATCGTAGATAATTTTGGGGGGTTGGGATCGGTAACATGTTAAGAAGGGAGTGATGAGTTCTTACCCTCCAACATTGGTGATTGTGATTCCATGTTGTAGTAGTGGAATGCCTAGAGGAGATGACGAGAGACGGGCCGAACAATCCACAGTTATGGTGGACAAAATACAAAATACTCGTTCATCTTTTCGCAGTTGGCTTATTTGACCAGAAAGCCGTTGCTTTCAATCGAAAGCTTTGGCATGGTTGTGCGTCGACTCGTGATGTCGCAGCGCGAACTGCATCATCTGCTGGCGAGACGGAAGCCTTATTGACACATCCAACAGCGAATAACGCGCACCTCATCCTGCCCGATGAGTCCTCCTCCAAGGCTCACCAGGGTCATGCTGCACAGCTGCACACCATCACGGCCTCAGCCGCTCACGTGGAATGGCTCGATTTGTCCTGACGTGTCTCTCCTATTGGTCACGCGATCACGACTTTCAATCACTAGGGTACACGAGAAAAGGGTTGCCTACCGCCGATCCATTAAGCGTGACCTCTTTCTCTCATGCCTGCGCTTCCCTCAGACTTTGATCCCATCTCTCCGCTACATCCGCCGACGCTTCCGTCTTATTCGTACACCTGCTTGCTCTACCGACCAACGCGAATAACGCCAGCAGCGACCAGCTTTTGCACCTTGGAGCGAACGTCGGGATTCTTCATATGCTCGTTGAGCGCCGCCGGGTTCGTCTGCGCCTGTTGCAAGATTGCCTGCATGACAGGATCTTGCATAATGCCCATGATCTGGTGCCGGACTCAAGTTAGCGGATGCTCTCGATAAGGGCAGTATTCTCGTGTTGGAACGTACCTCTGGGTCCTTCGCCAGGCGCTCCTTGGTCTGCTCCTCCGTCTCGTTGTCGCGAGCGGAGTACATGGCCGAGAAGGCCTTCTGCTCCTGCTGGTCAATCTCGCGCGAGTTCGCGCTGTTGTGGTGCTCCTGGTCTACAATCTTGGCCTCACTGCAGGCGTCCACTGACTCGGAATACTTGCGCATGCCGAAGTAGGCCTGAGCCTTGCGAATGTAGGCACGGATGAACTTCGGGTCCTTCTTGATGGCCGTGTTGCAGTCCTCGAGAGCGCTGGGGAACTCCAGCAGCTTGACAAAGGCCGCCGCACGGTTGCTGTAGCCCCTGGGGTCGTCGGGCGCGCGCTTGATCATCTCGCTGTACGCCGCCACGGCGCCCGGCAGGTCCATTTCCTTGAACTTCTTGTTGCCATCCTCGCGGGCCTCTTCAGCCTTGGCGGGGTCAATGTAGGCGAGGCGTGCGCTCTCAATCTTGTTCTTCTCGGCGTTGCGCAGCTTGAGGCCGACATCGGGCGTGCGGTGCTCCGTCAACGAGCTCTTGTAGTTCGTGACGGCCTGCTCGAGGTCGCCCAGCTTCTCGTACGCTGTTCCGATGCGGGCGTAGCTCTTGGCGATGATCTTGAAGTCGGCGTAGATGGCGCGACCTTCCTCGACGGCCTTGGTGCACGCGTCGATGCAAGCCTGGTAGTCGCCCTTTTCGAAGTGAGCCGCGCCAAGGTTGTTCAGGTACGTGATGTCCTTGTGGAGCTCCCAAGCCTTGGTATAGTGCGCGATGGCCTCGTCAAAGCTGCGCTTCTTGTAGCTCTCGGTGCCGAGCGCCTTCTCCTTGTCAGCGGCCTCCTTGGCCTTGCGCTTCTCCTGCGCCTCCTCGTCCTCGGGCTCAGCCTCAGGTTCCGGGGCAGGCTCGGGAGCCTTCTTTGGCGCTGACGGCCTCGGAGGCTCAGGCATGGAATCGGTCATCTCGGTGTCCTGCTGCTGGCCGGCACCCTCGGGCATCTCGCTGGGGTCGCGCGTCTGGATATCGACGCCCATGAGGACGCCGAGAACCTGCAGCATGCGGGGGTCGGAGAACAGGTCGGGGCTGTCGGGGTTCTGCTGAATCTGCTGGAGTTTCATCATGAAGGAAGGGTCGGCTAGGAGGCCGCTGGTCTTGGGGTTGCTGGCAAGCTTCTGAATAAGCTGGGGGTCAGAGAACATTTTGCCGAGGCCGCCACTCATATCGCCGCCTTGGCCGCCCGTCTCCTGCTCCATGGCCCTCTTTGTGGAGGCGAGGTCCTTCTTGAGTCCGGCGTTGTTGGGGTCCTTCTTGAGACCCTCCTCGTAGGCGTCGTGAGCGCCGAGAAGGTCGCCCTGACCGTAGAGGGCGGTGCCCTTGCGGCCCCAGCCCTTGGCCCAATCGGGCTTGATCTCGACAGTCTTCTCGGCATCCTCGAGGGCGTGGTCCCAGTCCTTCTTTGAGGCGTAGGCGGCGGATCGGTTGCTGTAGAGGATGTGGTTGGTGGGGTCAATGGCGATGGCCTGGGTGAACTTGTCACTGCAAAGTGTTAGTCGAGAAGGCTACGTGGACAAGGTCCGACATGGGTGGTGGTGAGGTGCGGAGGCATAAGAAACTTACACAGCCTCGTCAAAGTTCTTGGCGGCAATGGCCGCGTTGCCTTGAGCCTTGAGCTCGTCTGCGGTAGCCATGTTGGTCGATGGTCGAATAACAGAAGGAAAGCAGTCCAGGAAGAGTAGGCTTGAATGGGTATCGTGGGAGCGTCAAATTCGTAAAGAGCAGAGAACAGTGAAAGAGATCAGTGGTTCGTTCAAGGTAGAAAGATTGGTGCAAGAGGGGACCTTGGTGTGGTGGTTGCGAGTTCTTCAAGTGCTCCAGGCTCACCCAAAATCAGAGCTGGGGTCGCACGCAGCAGCACGCGGGAAAGAAAACTGGCCAGCTCCTTCTAGCTCTTTCGATGGCTCCTCCAAACAGAGCCCCACGCTGATTGGTGTCTTTCGCTGCGGGGGCCTGGTCTGTGCAGCTGGAGGGGTAGTGGAGGCAGGTACTGTAGTACCATGTGCCTGCCATCAGCTGTTGGATGCTGACTCAATGCGAACCTCCGATGGAAAACACCACGAGAGCTCCTGCCTTCCGGCACCATGTGTGTCGGGCAGACTTTGGTTGCCAACTCCGCCACTGCTGCGTTCATTTCGCCTGAGACACTTGTGGCGCAGTCGAAACAGTTGACGCGTTGCACCGCGTTCTTTCATTTCTCGCGAGGCCATCTACCTGTGTCAAGCAAGGTGCCGAATCTACCTAGGTACGCTCCACGATGCCTCTGAATGCCTTTGGCGTCCCAAAATGTGGAGGGGCATGCATCCATCTGCTCCCGTGCGACAGAAAGACGCAAACTTGTCACAAAGTCTGTCTCCAGTCCGTTTCCACACCCCCCAAAAAATAGCAATGACACCCCTTGCCGCAGCTGGCTTCCCCGGGAGAAACACGTTCATCTCATCCTGCCAGTGTGGATGGCTGGGCTCTCCGGGTTGCTCGGTCCCTGCTCAAGCAGTCTCGTCCCAAAGATTCCAGGTTGAGGTCTCCAAGTCAATTGACATGGCAGTCTCGAGAATCATGCGGAATGTCTCGGCATCCAGCTGTCCGTCCTGATGGGGCTCGCCAGGCAGGTCTGTCCCCAATATCAGCATCGCCAAAAGCCCACGCTATAGAAGTGGGAATGGAACTCACACCAGCCATGGACAAGAGCTTCGCGAAGCTTAAGGACCAGGGGGTGACGCAGGCTGCACTGCTTGTGTCTGGTTGAGATGCTGCGAGCCCTGTTAACAACACATGTCCTTCCTTTTTGGGCAGACGCGAGGAGACAGGTGGAGGGAAAATGGCACTAACAAGTTCAATATGGCAGCCTTTTCCCTCAGAATCTTCATGTGAAGAGCAAAATCCTCAACGAGGTCACCAATGAGCTTGACAGCAGAGCCGATGATGGGATCGCTGCTTAGGAACTTCTGGACCGTCATGGTGCTGGGGTGCAGACCCTTCTCCGAGTCTTCGTGCTGCTTCGAGAACATGACATCAACCATGACAACGCGGAGCCAAAAGGTGCAAATGCTCTTTTGAATAACGGCAATGCGCTGAATCTGGGGCTCGGCGCCCTCCTTGCCTGTGGCGATGCACTGCTGGTAGATGTGGTTGGCGTTGACCTGCTTCTGAGCCTCGGCGGTAAGCTCGTCAAGGATCTCATTGTCATCATTAGTCAGAAGGTCATCCAGCTTCTGCATGGCATCCATGCTAGCCTTGATCATGTCAGGCACTTCTTCGGGCTGGAACTTGTCAGCAAGGCTCTTGTAGGCAGCTCTGGCGCCCTTGATGACGCCGTCGAGAGACTTGTGAGTGGCGAAGCGGTACGTAGTGGTCGCGGGCGTGTCGTTCCGGAGCTTCTTGGCTTTGGTGATATCGCCAAGTCTCTGTTTCTGGTGGATGGCGAACTCGAGCTTGATCCAACGCAGCATCTGGCGGTTCTCCATCGAATGCTTGTCGAGCTTGGACGTGTCAGTGATGACAGCCTTTGGATTGCCAGCAGTCAGGAGAGAGGCCAGAAGTTTGAGGTCTTTGTCGCGCTGAGAATCAATATTTTCAGTTTCCGATATGATCAGACCTGGGGTGGTTCTGGCCCAGTCTCCAACCTGGCCTTCTCTGTGCTCGACATCGTCGACGCGAAGGTCGATATCAGCCATGTCAAGAGAAAGGGCTGAGACTTGGACCATCTTGTCAGACTTTGTCGCAGTGTCGGAACGCTGAAGGGATCGAGAATCTGCTGGGTCAGCGGTACGCATGGCACACGCGGCAGTGGTATCAGTAGGAACCGAGTGCCAGTCACTTCGGCTGGAGGTAATGTCTGAGGGGGGCTGGTAATAGGTCTCCTGCTGTGGATCTCCGAGTAAAGATTGGGCGTGGGGACGGGAGCTCTCGCGATCGCTTTCGTAAGACTGACTGTAACGGCATGAAGGATTCGGAGCTATGATACCGGGCATTGTGCCGCCTTCCGTGGACCGAAAGTGGGGTACCGGCGGCTCTTGCCCTGAGGCCGGAGGTACCCACTCGGACCGAGCCTGATCACCAGGCCGAACAGGTGGGGCCAATGTTTGTGCACTTGGATGACCGATATCATTCAAGGAAGTGACCGGCTTTTGCTTCGTCTCGGAACGATCCGAGATCGGTTGCGAGTCAGTTGCAGATATATCCAGTGCTTGTCCCCGGGCGTGCGAGGGGACCGGCTTGATTTGTGAAATGCCCAGAGCAGTGGTGGATGAAGTAACAGTGCCACGCGAAACGCTGTCGATGCTGGCATCGTTGTTGACCATAGTTGTCTCAGGCGGGTACAGCAAACCAGTGCTTTCCGACAGCTCACTGTCGTCACCGCTGGTGTCGCTCCAGGAGTCCGACATCTCTCCTAAGGGGACTAAAGATAGTGTCAAGGGGAAATCTGAACTGGTGATGATGGGTTGAGAGGCCTCAAAGATAAGACTGACTCGATGGACTTCAAGTGCTTTTGCGTCGTTTGCGAACGAAAGAAATCAAATTTGGGAAAGTGTAGGATGCGTTTAGGTAAGAGGCCAGGCCCGACACGTTATTGTTATGAGCGGAGGTTTGTGCATTCACTACCCTGACGCAAGTCACAAGGGTCTATCTTCATTAACTCATACGTCCTTCGGCTTCCATGTCATAGATTTGATGCCCTTGTGATTCTTACAGCACTCAGTGAGTCACGACTTTCGAATGTGATGGCTCGTCAGCATGGAAGCTTTGGTTTGGCAGTGGTTATGTCTATCTTGGCGCAATGCTGAAAGATAGAGGATTTCAAAGAAAATTGGTGTTCACATTTGAGGATACCAAGCTTGTTTGAAAGGTAAATGAAAGGCTCACTTTGTTCCGCTAGGGACAACGGTCTTGTGAGCTTCGCAACGTAAAATCCACGTCAAAACCTTATCCTCATCAAGTCATAATCGTAGAGGCCCTCTGGGAGGACTGGATTGGTGTCACACATGTACGGGTGGCAGAGATCAAGACAGTCGCCGCGCACCATTCCCTGATCTATCCTTGAGTTCAGGAACACTGTACTCGCATCGAGCTCGTCGCCAAAGGCTTCTGGAACATGTTGACGGAACAGGAGACCCAAAAGTGTAGAGTCTTCTCATCCAGTCCCGGTGGGTGAAGTGGATGCATTGTTTGACGATGGAGCTGAAGAAGCTGACTGCTCCGTTGTGGTCAGAAGGCGGTAAGGCACATCGTCGACGTCCCTCTGAAACCGATCCATGGTTGATGGCCAACATATTGTTAGTGGTTGATGTGAGCAACAGGACCTGGATGGACCTACTCTGTGAGTGGCGTTGGGGCCGGAGCAGGAGATGGCATGATGATGGCGATCAATCAGGGCTGTATATCGAGTTGATATCTGACGTGGGTCGTGGAATGGCGACGACGGAGGACTTAGAAAATTTAAGAAGCGCCGTGCTTGATCCTGAGGGAGAGAAGATGAGGCGAGAATTCGACTGGAAGACGATATTTATAGCTTCCGACGATGTGAACCACAACGCAGACGACGACTGAGGCGTCCTCGTGATCGCAATATCACCGCCTGCCATAGATAGCCGGAAGCATGCTGATATGGTCATTGCTGGCGGCCATCACCCTGCAGCCTGTCATCATCGCCATGGGTTCATCAGCAATGAATACCCCCCAGTCTCGGTGCACACCCTTGACTACTAGGCTGGCAACCACATTCGACGTCCATGACGGGCCAAGAAGGCGCGCGCAGAGAGCCCCACGAGGACACGACATGTCCATCTCGGCGATACTCTTCTTGAGAAGACCAACGATCGTTGACGGATTCTACCTCTACGCCAGCTCATTGTGAACAACCTAAAGCGGAATGAAAGCCAGTGGCGAGGGATCATCCCTGGGCGGTTCTGCTTGGAAATACACAGAAAGAGTGGTCGGTGAACAAAAACGGGATGGTACGCATTCGTATGCATTCATCAAGTGGAGGGAGAAGCCCCAGGCCATCGGAAATGTCCAATCGTGAGGTATCGATAGAGCTGCCGTGGAAGACCTCGTGACAACCATTAGGTCCCGGTCCTTTTTGCGACAACAATGTTCGGTTTCGACCTTGCCGCCGACGGCGGCTTGAGACAAGTCGGAGACCGGTGTACCAGGGCTGAGCTTTCACGAGCAAGCTGGCTCAATCTAGGTAGACCATTGACGAGACGGGGGCTACATGAATCTGCAAGGCCAGGTGTGCCGTTGATGGAAGCACATGCAAGCCGCATTCTTGCCAACCCAATCATTGAATATCATGGCAAATGGCCCGGCGGTTGATAGCATTGGACGGATAATGATCGAGATTCGCGCATCACGCGGCGCGAAAGCTGGCGTCACTCATGCATATCATGGATGATGTCGACGTGATGAAGTGCCAAGATGACATGAGTCCCAGGATTCGCTGTCTTGGAGCCGAGCACATCCTCGATCGGGAAAGCGGAGGCCAAGGCGAGGCGGTTGAGCTGGTGTTCATTTCCTTGCGTAGCAAGACAACATCTCGTGGTACTCTTGTCGCCCATCTTTGTGGCATAGTACCTATTGTCTGATTTCAGTTACAGGGTGGAGATCTCACCAAGGATCCTTAATCGGCGTGGTAAGAAAGGCAGACAGAAAACAAAATGGTACACTTGATTGCAGCAATAAAATGATTGCACGCAGCCGTCGGCAACCCCGTAGGCCTCGACAGCCAGGCCTATCAACGAGAGGCAGCTCGAGCAGAATGTTGTGTCAAGGGCCGGTACCCTGGTCATCGCGGACCAAAGGAGGACTCCGGAACGCCTGCACCTCATCAGAAAAGAATGTACTTTCTTACAGACGGTCCCTGGAACCGGGAAATGCACCTTGCCCGTGAAGAAACCGGATCATGGAGTCTAGTGGGTAGTTGATTGTCATCAGTCATGGCCGTGAAGCTCAGGGCAAGGTGCTACAGCAGGGATGTCTGCGATTGGAGGAACCGCCGACGCAAAGCCAATCCGCCATCCGATGAAGCAGCCCAATGGCAGGCTAGGTACTGTGAGCACTTCATGGGTGGGTGGAGAGTCATGCTGGCCGACTATCAACAATAAGGTCATGGCATGTTGGCCTTCTGAGGGCCAATGGGGAATCGAGGTTGGGCCAGAGCTGCATTGATGGTGATACCCATACAGCAAAGCCAAAAGATACCGTAGAGCATTCATGCAAGAACAAGGATAGTACTCTGGAGCGGGGTTAGACGCAGAGCCTCATCATTCGGGCCGCCTCAGCGTTCAGGGAGTTGGGCTCTCCCCAGGATCCTGGTGCTCTGAGGGCGTGGAACGCGGTAGACTCCCCTGCAAGCCTTGTCGGCTTGTAGGCTTGTCACCGCTCCTGTTCGCCCGGTTTGTTAGGCGTCCCAACATTCGACCCTGTTTACTTTCGTCAAACGATCGCGGGCGCAGGAACCATCACGCCGAAGATGCTGCACGATGATGGCGCATAGTAGTTGAACAGCACGTGGGACCCGAACCGTTCGTTTGGGTCTGGCCTAGCTTCGATTGCAGCGGGGAGCGTGCTGTTTATAACTTGTGACGAGCCCCAGAGCCTTCTCCTGACTTCTCTTCTCTTTCCTCCGCCAAAATCTCCTCCCGGTCCCTGATTTCGACCTTTCGGGGCCCTTCCTTTGAGAATTTCACGAGTACGACCCTCTCCCAGTCGCCGCCTCGACCAGAATCCTTTAGTTCCGGTCCAGGCTTGTCGAGACCGAGCACAATACGTTTATCCGAAGACCGAATCAGCAGATTTTGAGGGCTCATGACCTTCTCAGACCATGGGATCGACGATGTGGGGTGCGCGATCCCTTTTTCCGAACTGGCCGTTGGCGTCTTCCGCAGAAATTGCAGGAGCTTCTGCCGTTGCGATTCAAAAACCGAAAACGATGTCCCCGAGCCTTGCTGAGTACAGAACCGAGCCACATGATGAAGAAGATAGTATTGCGGCGGGAACAAGATAATCTCGCCAGCGTCAGCCTTGGCCAGCCATGTAGCGGCATCGTCGAACCGGGCTGCTGTGTGCTCGACGCCGCCGTCGGGCGTGGGAACAATAATCTCTTCTTGCTGTGCCGCCTCGACCCGGTCAAATGCAGCCGTGTCGGGGAGAAGATAGAGGTACATCTGGGTCGTAAAGCGCTTGGGAACGTTGGTGGGTGTTACCCATCGCGTGAAGGGGATCAGTCCCTCGACGTCGGGTGTTCCGCCGACACTCTCTGCCCAATCGCTGAATCGGACATGGTTCCCATGGATCTGCTTCCGCGCGGCCTCCCTGTTGCCATTAGGCAGGCTCACGAGTGCAGCGTCACTTTTTGCCCCTTTGCGTCGTGCGAGCAAGATGCCTGTCTCCTCGAAACACTCGCGAATAGCACCAATGCGGTACGCTGGTCCGTCCACATGTCTCTCCTCCGCATGTTCGGCAGGGATGTCGCCGTCATGAAAGGCGTCTAGGTTGCCGCCAGGGAAGACATGTGCGGACGCGAAGGAGCTTGACGTCTTGACGCGATGCAAGAGAAGAACTTGGTTGGTCGGCGACAAGAGCAGAATGCTGTGAATGTCTCAGCCTTGAAGAAGAGAGACAGGCCCTCTCGACTGGACAGCCATCTGGCCCTACCTACCTAGAACTGGGACGAGGAGCGACGGCTGGTTTCTTCTCCTTCGAGCTCGACGACGCTGCACGGGTTTGTGACATGGTTTTGGAAATAGGTATAGTCTGCGATATCAAGTAGCGTCGCTGAAATGTACAAGATGAGTGGTATGCTGTCGTCTGGTAGCTTATGGCAGGCTGATGGAGGGAATCCGTAATTCGAGATGCCGCAAGGCCTAGCACGCGGGAATAGGGAGACGATGGAGACATCAAGTGCGCCTTGGTGGAGGGGACCTGTCGTTCGGCGTTGGGGATTGATGTCTGTGACAGGACCGATTGAACGGGGATCATGGCGGGGGAAGCTCCAGGTGGCGCCGTGCCGAGGTACACGCCCACCCAAGCGCGCGCCCTTTACAACATTGCAAGCCTTGATTGCCATGAGGAATGACCTTCCCCATTAATTCTCTGTAGACCACTAGCCCCAAACGTCGCTGATTGCCAAGCAGGACATTCGAAGACTGAGGCCTGTAGTAAGCCAAGTAATCGTCAATTGTAAGCTCATCGCCGCGCGTAGCCATATTCATTCGCTCGCTCTTGTGCACCAATATTTAAGCCAAGAATGACCATGGGTATCTGTATCCTGATGCCGCCTTTCATCAATAACGCTTCCTCTCCTTGCCTGAGAGGTTCACCCGCCAGAGGCAACAAATACTCTTTGACTCGCACCATTGTTTGACTTCAGACGCCGACACCTCCC